GCGAACGCGGTGCGGGCGATGCGGGCGTACCTCCGTGCGGGCGCGCGACGGGTGGGGACCCGCATCGCGCCCACCGCATCGGAGCGGGAGGAAGAGGAGGCGGGGGGGGGGGGAGCGGGGTTCCCTCTTTGGTGTCCCCACCGACGATGCGGGCGCGGCGGGGGAGGGGAAGGAGGAGGGGCGACGCGATCGGGCAGGAATCCCATCTGAAACGTCCTACCGGCCTCGCAACCTCAAACGCGTGTTTGTCTGCGTTCCATCCCACGGCATGCAGCACATGGACGTGAAGTATTGCCAGCTCCTGGAGGAATGGGGCATCCCTTTCTCCGTGGTGCTCTGCAAGACGGATGCCGCACCTATTCGATTTCTCGCCCGGCTGGCAGATTACACTCGATGCCAGCTCGTGCACTTCGACCAATGTAAGGAGCTGATGTTGACTAGTTCCTTACGTTTGGCGGGCATCGATAAAATGCAAGATCTCATTGCAAGTATGGGTATCACTGAGAGCAAATTGAGCGGCGCAACAATGGATTTCTCTATGCTTGTGTAATGGTGAAAAAGTATACCTATTTATTAAAAAAAAAAGTTGTCCAATGCCAAAGGAATGACGGCAAAATGGCTGATTACCTCTTAGGGGCGTTAGCGACGTAGACAACGACCCTCTTCCCCAGAGGACTATATTGTGATGCATACACTTTTCTTATACTCCTTGTTTCAATTTTCCGCGCACATATATGCATTTTTTTTTTTCAGACACCCAAACTGTCTTACTTTTTAAGCTTTGGAAGTTTGATCTATTTCAGCCATTCTTCAATAGTCAGTTCAGCTATACCAAAAATCAAACCGTGATTTTACGGTCTTGAATCTACTTGCATTTAGCAGTGCACCCTATTATTTTTTTTTAAAGTTTTATAGAACTACTAATTTTCAGGATTTTTTTTTCAAAACCACTTTAGCAAACACACATTCAATCAGAATTTTAATTTCTAACTTTAAACAGGCTTACAAACTTACAATAGTATACCAACAAGGATATCTATCTAGTTATATCGATAACTGAATAGATATATATTGGATCAAGAAGGAAAATCTGGAATAGTTGTATACCTGTATACACTGTGTCCTTCCTCTCTCATATATTCACACACACGCAGTTCCTACACACGGTGAAACTTCTCGTACATCACTAGAAGAGGGTTACCACTCTCACCCTTCAGAATAAGTGCAGGCGAGTAAGGGGCGCAGCAAACAGCACCTCACAGAGAGTCAGTAGGACGAGGTGCATTACTTAGGAAGAGGTGATCCGATTAATCAAGCGATTATATATATATATCTATACATAAGATAGATTAAAATTATCCCTTTTCCCCAAGCGGTGCAATTTCTTTGTAAACAACCCTGGGTGCATCTCATCTGTTTCATTCCCAAATTCGTCAGACACAAAAAGCTAGCTTTTGTTGCGACAAGGTTAAAGGAAAGAAACTAAGGGAATTCTTAGCAACAAAGTTTGTGCCAAGGAGTTTGCTACGTAATCTAATCCTAATATCTATTTTCTTTTTTGCGTGTTTGATTTCCCTAAGACAAAGTGTTTTGTTTTGTTTAAGTTTTCGATCCGTTCTCCCCTTCCAATTCAGGTTCACGTTCCCTTTGCGTTGCTTTCCGTTTGATTCAATATCGCTCACAATCTTCTTATTATTTATTTTTCATTTTTAAATAACATTTTATCATAGGATAGATTTAATATTTTTTACGAATTTTCACTACTGTTATTACTCCTTTTTATTTTCTGCACGTTTTGCTTATTTTGAGGGGCAACCAATAGCCTTCTTCGACCTTTTCCTTCTTTAAAGAGCTCTAAATCTTATCGATTTTCCGCAATTTTTTACCTATTTTTTCTTCCCTATTTTAGACTTCACGAGGCGGAAAAGGACTTTCATTGAAAGAAAAGAGACAATTGAACGAGGGAGCTTTCGGAGCACACGAGAGATATAAAAGCGGCAAAAGTGCAATTTTTTTACCCGTTTTTTTTTGTTCCGTGAAGTTTTTTTTCCGTCACTAATTTGTAATCATCCATTTCTTTTTATTCAATAACAACACCAGCAAATTATATATATATCTATATAGATATATATAATTTGAGTAAAACGGCAACCTATATTGCAAGGAACTAAAACATCGAGGTGTTCTCATTGTGTGAGGGAAGAGAGCGTTGATAATACTACCCAGACGCTTCCTCTAATATCATACTCTTTTGTGAAAAGGACTAATTCAGACCGGCGGTCATCTACCAATAGCACGTTGATAAGATGAGTATGGGACGGCGCGAAACCCCACAGGACATAATCCAGGGTTCAATGGAAGAGCCTCTCAGCGACGTCGATGACACAGACGGCTGGAGGAATTATTGTAACAAAGTCCCTTTGGCCGGATCACTTCCATTAATGACGGTTTTGCCCTCTTCTAACATCCTCGGCTCTCCCGACGACACCACGCTTAACTCGACGTCAGCCGGGCTGACCAGCCCTCACCTCCGCACCGTCGCGAGTTCTATTGCGGCAGTCATGGACATGGATGCTTCGGATCAGATGGAGGGCTCGAGCCCCTACTGGCGCAACGTCTATATCTCCGGGCTCCCGTCGCACTACCGCTCAAACGACTTTCGGGCGTTGTGCCAGCGGTTTGGCCGCGTGGAGGCGTCCAAGCTGTGCGTGGACGGCAGCACGACCCCGACCAAAGGCTACGGCTTCGCCCTCTTCTACACCGACGAGAGCGCCGCGGCGTGCATTCAGGGGCTGAACAACGCGCTGCTCTGCGGGCGCCGCCTGCAGGTGCGCTACGCGGACCCCGGCGCGACCCCGCGCGCGGCCAATGGGGTAAATGCAATGGAGACGTTGCACCCGCCGATTCTCCGTGAACGTCGTCGCCGGCCGAGCAAGAACGTCAACAGCGGCACAGTTAACCTGCCCGTTTTCGCCCCTGCCTACCCGGACTTGAGCTCCTTATCTTTCTGCCCTGACGCCGCCATCGTGAAGGGGACTGCGTTGCCGCCGAGCGGATCGTTCACAACGCCATCGGCTCCGCTGCTGGTGATGCCCCTTGGTGTGGCAGTACTGCCGCTGCCGCTTCTGGGGGCCGAGAGTTGCGTGTGGATGATGGCGCCGCCAAACCAGCAGGCGAATTTTTGCCCACCGGCCGCCCCTGCCGCCCTGCGGAACCCCTTCGAGCCCGGTTACCCACAACGGCGAGGCGGCAGCGGAGGGGAGGACGTGGACGCCCTGTAGCCTTCAATTCCGTGGCTGGAGTTACTTGCTATGGATGGTCGTCACCTTGAAGCTTTGCCTACTAAAACAACACAGGTCAAGGAGTTCGACAAGGAAATTTGTTCCCGGATTCAAAGTGAACAGCAATAAAATGCATTTTTTTTTTTTGAAAGGATAAAATTTGTGAATGACACCATTTCACTCCCCGCACATATCTTTTTTATCTTTATATAAAAATTTTATCTTCTATGCTCACGTATTTTTTTTTAGCTTTGATAAGTAATATGGAGTGGTTTGTGCCAACGTGTTTTCCTTTTCGAATCTGAAGAACACAATATACCAATATATCTTTTTTTCCTTTCGATATTTATTTCTATTTTGAGCGGGCTTTATCATTAATGTTGTCACTTTATATATTAATATATCTTTTTCCATGACTTGCCGATAGATTTCTTGGAGGTTCTATGATTCCGGTTACTGCTATGTGTACCTTCTCTGTTTTCAATTTTTAATCCACACAGGTGGGAGGGGCAACCTCATACCCATGTGAAATTCTACGTTTTCGGCGAAATGGTACATAAATCTATACGTCTTTTTAAACCAATTTTTCAAAAAAAAATTCCACGGCAACGTTGATGACAAGGAGTAGTGTCTTCAACTCTGACAAATTGCCAGCGGTTATACGCATTTTTTTTTCGAACTAGAGCAGGTTCACTACTATTTGGTTAAACTTAATATATAGTATATACATTATACTGTATATGCTGTCATTTCACCAAAAAATCCCACAAGAGAATAAAGAAGAAGAGCTCGTGACCAAGCTTATTACCGCTTACGAGCTACTGTGCCTCCAAGGCTACTCGCATTTTATTTAGATTTTCGGCATGCGCTTTGTTACGATTCTTTTTCATGGTTCTCCCATCGGCTTCACCTAGCGACGATTTATTCGTCTGAGTGTCTTAACATTTAAGTTTTTCTTTTGTTTCTCACGTGTTAGCCAGAGACTGTGATAAATATTTTTAACGCAGTCTAGAAGAAAATGGCTATTTTTCTCTCCACGCCTCCTCCTGTGCTGTCAGAGGAGGGGTAGAAAGGAGTCTTTTTAATGTTTTAGTTTGCTAAGCTATTCTTAATGACTTCAAGGGACAAGGTGGAGGAGCACTACTAGTGCAAGAGCTCACTTTAGTCTCTTTTTTTATTGCTTGTCAAGCACGAACCTGTTTTTTACATGTTTTATCAAGTGGCAATCGTTTTGTCATCGGTAGTCCATCTACACACGTCTTCCACATTGAATTCTAACTTTAAACATATCCTTCGTTCCCCCTCCTTCCGAGACGATGTGTATTGACTAAGGGTAAGAAAAACGAGTGGCTAGAAACAGGTTAGAAAACTTGCAAGTAGGAGAAAAAAACACTTAAGTTTGACACCTTCCATTTACTATCTTCTGGTAAATATGTGTTAAATAAATGTCATGATTGTTGTATCAGTGTATTTCACATTGTTCTATATTTATCACACATATTTAAGTGTAGTGTCTTTCCTATTACTTTGTCTATTTGGGTTCATTTTTACAATTCGGTACTGTATTTTTCAGGTTATATTTCCTGCACAGCTATTTTCTACCTTTAACCTTTTTTCTCCTCGATCATTTATGGAAGTCTGCTTTAGAACGGATCCATTTATTTGAACGATTTTTCCTTACGAGAAGCGAATGGTTTCTCTATTATTATTTCCCTGTCCAACGTAAACTATGACTATTTCAGATGCAGTGAATCAAACATGTGAGCACAAAGTATATCCTCAGAAAGCTACTCATTGGCAACTCTAAAGCAATCAGTTTCATTACATTTGAAAGAGCAATTGTAAACGATCTCTCAAGAAGAATAAAAAAATATTGGTTAAAAAGCTTCTATGAAATCCCGCCTTGTGATGGATAATGATGTTTAATTTGATTAAACCGTCCCCGAAGGCATCATATTTAATAAATTCTGAAGGAAGTATTTCAATAAAATTCCAATCTTTGTTTCTCCTTAATGACGTTTACGCGGCCTATAGGTTTTGCCTAAATGAGAAAGTAATGCGAGGTCACTTTTCATAAGGGGCCATATTTTTGTTCGCTTTTTCGTACATCACCTGTTACTTTCGTTAGTTCAATGAGTTAATAATTTTGAGTCTTCATTTTTACACCAGACAAGTTATTGCTATATTATGCCACGCATGCCATATATATAAATATATATATTTGTGGTGTTAATGTGATGTTTAGGGCCACGGTATTTCTTGGAAATGCATTCCTTTTTTTACCCCTTCGATTTTTAACCCGTATTCACTATCAATTCACATCTATTATCGCTATTCCTTTTTCTCATGGGATTCTTAAGTTTGTTCGTGGGTGAGCTTGAATCTCTAAGGAGTTTTTAAACACTAAATGCAGATATCGTGAAGTAAGGATGTGAAAAGTGAGAAAAAGCAGAGGCTTGGATTTGAATACCTAATATGTTTATTTTAATCAGATTTTGCATATATATATATACGTTTGCATGTATGTGTATTGAGCAGAGGAGCTGCTATTTGGCATCGCATTCACTACAATTTTTTCTTTACACATCACACGTAAACCATTTATGTCATATGGTTAGCAAAAGAGTAGAACATCGGAATCTAAATGACTAGTCTAATACGACATATAGGTGAGTATACGGGATAGCAATCAATCAAACCGTGGAAAAGGGGAAAGGGTTGTTCAATTCTATAAATTCACACGTACTAGAAGTCAGGGAGATTACAAATTATAAGTATATTTCTAGGTACGTGCAAATTCTATTTTTTAATTATCTTTTTGGATCCTATTATCTAGTCAGAAACTAAGATGTATTTTTTTCCAGATTTTGTTAAATTTTAAACGTTGCAAGGTCGATGCTTGGTGCATCCTCCTTTAATAAAAAGTAATTCATATATATATATATATATATATAACAGATAATAATTGATGTATATATAATAAAGGATTCGTACTGTGATGTAGCTGTATTGATTTACACACTTTGATTGCATCTTCTTTTCTATAACTATTGAATAGATCTTATCTGTTGGTGTCTTGGAACAGATTTATACATCACTATACCAACATAACCTATGTTATCAAGTACTGTGAGTAACGACTGCAACAGCCCGCAGTCCAGAGTCGATGTTATATCCACCTACCCATCCTGTGGTCTTGCAAGCGTCAATGACCTGCTCACCATGATTGACCCCCGCCGTGTCCCACTCCAGCAGCGCAACGTCTACATCTCCGGGTTACCCCCACACCTCTCCTCTGGTGACTTTCGGGCGTTGTGCCAGCGGTTTGGCCGCGTGGAGGCGTCCAAGCTGTGCGGGTCGGGACGTAAAAAGTCCCGCCAAGGCT